GCACGTGCATGCGTTAGTGCTTACCTTGAATACTCCTACCTTCCCCCAGCTACACCGCCTTACATTGACATACCCCCAAGCTGCACTCCTTCTTACCTTTGACTACCCCAAGCTGACACTCCTTCTTACCCTTGACTACCCCCAAAGCTAAACTCCTTCTTACCTTGACTACCCCTAAGCTGACACTCCTGTCTTACCTTGACTACTCCAAGCATGACACTCCTTCTTACCTTAACTGCCCCAAGCTGACACCTGCCTTCTTACCTGACGTAGTTACCCCCCCAACGCTGACCCCCTCTGTACTTGACTACCTCCAAGCTGAGCACTCTCCTTCTTACCTTGACTACACCAAGCTGACACTTTCTTCTTACCTTGACTACCCGCCAAGCTGACACTCCTTCTTACCTTTGACTCCCTAATCTGACACTCCTTCTTACCTTGACTACCTCCAAGCTGACACTCCTTCTTAAAGCCTTGACTAACCCCCAAGCCTGACACTTCCTTACCTTGATTTCAATTCTCCCCGTAATGTCGACCTTGTATCCACCGATGTCGTCCAACATAGCTTAGTCGCCTGACTGACTGTGTATCGTTTCAGCGCTATAAAAACACAATAATACACTACTCATCAGCGCATCATCATTATCGATCATCATCATCATCTATCATCATCATCATCATCACGTCTTTAAATCACATCATCAATCATCATCCACCGCCACCGACCATCATCCATTAATCATCGTCGTCATCATCATCATCATCTATCATCACATCATAATCATCAATATCATCATCACATCGAGGTGTATAAAGAGTAATCGTTTATTACAACGTCCGTAAAGCGCTATATAACATTACCTCATAACCTCATAAATAGAATAATCTTCATGATCGAAGAAACTGTCATTGCGAAAAGACGAGTCTACTACTGATAAGTACCGTAATATAAGTAAATTACAATGCTAACGCCGCTTTAGTTCAATTTCAATCGTGTGATAAATCTAACTTATAGACGAGGAGATAGAAGTAAGGTTCGGTCCTGCGCCCAGCAGAGACGCGGTTCCAAGGCTCGTTGCACACAGCATGATAACCAGGATGAATAACAATAGATCTATGATTAGATCTATTTAATAGATCTATTATTATCTGTAATAAAATTTTTTATTAATCTATTATAATAAAAGTATTATTATTCACTCCTAGAAAGATCTACTCGGGTATTATATATATTATTTCATTCGATATTAATTATGGATTGGGGAATGGAGTAGTTTGTTCTCTTCAACTCATGCCGGTTGCTTTCACGTTACAATCGTAATTATATTCCTAATGCTGCCCCTTACCTCACCTATACATCGCTATGAGCAGAGGTCATAGTTCTACACTTATGACTCTCACCTAGCAGGTAATCTGGGTCGAAGCCCGCTTTCTGTTAATATTAGCATTTCATTTCAGATGTGCCGTACGTCAATGTTGACAAACAGGGGGTAGCTGGCACGAAAGATAATGGCCATGAGAGAAAACATAGCTTTTGGAAACATGGAGAAGAGACGGTGGTTTGAAATGACGTCACGTCGAGCGGCTTATCACGTGATCTAGACACGACGCGTTGATCTTTCTGTACATATAGGGCCTACATTTTAATTAAACCAGCCATGACTACTTACATTGTAAGACTAGATAAGATTTTCGCCCGGTTAAATATGTCATTTTAATGACATCATTAATTATGTCATTAAAAGACATACACTAAGTGAGCCATTAATTTCGATACTAGAGCTGTGATTGCATCAGATGACACCTACTACTGTATATCCATATATGATCTGGAGCGAGAGTGTCGCAGCCTTTCATGTACACGTGCATGCCCTACATCCACCAGAGAGCGAGGTGTTATAGAATAGATGATGGTCATATAGAATAGATGACACTCTGTATTATGAGACTTCTGTTTGTGTGTTTACACGGCCTGTATGCTACTCTGGAAGTATTGCATGCACGCGGACATCAAAATGATTTCACCGCTATACCCATTTTCGCTCGATTCCGTCCTGTTATTTATACTTACTCTTGATTAAACACCACTCGGTAAAATTTTTCTTTTATTTACGGTAAGGTTGTTAACGAACAAAACACACACGCGCACACGCACACGCGTACGCACACGCACATGCACACGCACACGCATGCACACGCACATGCACACGAACACGCACAGCACACGAACACGCACAGCACACGCATCAACGCAACACGCACTACGCACGACTCTCTATATCTCTCCTCAGCAGCACATACATATACACTCACACATACACACAGACACACACACCAACACAGATATACACACACACACAACACACAACACAACACACACCACACACACACACACCACACACACACCACACACACACACACACACACACACAACAAACACATACATACATATATAACTAGCAAGAAAGTATACCCGTAGAACCAGCAAATGGTTGTCTTT